AACAGCCATTTTCTCACTCTTCCTCAACTCTTTCTTACCTGTCTCAGTGTATCAATATTCTCCAATTTTCCTTTTCCTTGTTTCGGATTTTTTTCTCCTCCTTTTCCTACTGGGCTGAAGCAGGTGCCTGTGAGTTACTCTTCTGGGGTCCTATTAGGGCTCCTAGGGTTGACCTGGCAAAGCATCCATTTTCTGTCTAAGTAGCAAGAAGGTCCTCTGTGTGCATATGTGCCTATTTTTCCCTCCACAGCCTTGCAGAGCAAATGACTGCCAAGAAAGGTTCTTCCCCCATGGTTTGGCGGGGACTGACTTTGCTCTCCCCATAGGTGATGTCGTGGTTGCGAACACAAGCCTCTGCAGGTCTTTAGTCTTCTGTTAAATGTGGTGCTTGCCTTCCTGTGACTATTTCCAGCCAGCAGAAGGCAAGCACTGCCAGCAGTTTAAAAGGAGGCACAGAGGCACTATTAAAGTGAGAGAAAGGTGAGAAGCATAATGAGACAAAGAAAATTTATGGTAACACTTTGAGGCTCAAGATTCTTTCTACCAAAACACAGGACTGGTGTCCAGGCCTTCATGTACATTAATAGATCAGTAGTTTTGGGGGGTCATATTTACAGTATTTATCCATTTCTTTAATTGCACTCACTGGTTCAGAAAACTGCACAGACCATGTATTTGGAGAATAAGGTCCCCCAACAGAAATTTTAGCTAGTGCAAGAATAAAGGCTCTAATTGCACAGGATTTTGAATGGGCATAGGTTCTATTTCATTATCAGTACTTAAAATTCACACAACAGAATACAACATTTTCTAAAGGAACTTTTCAGTTTTTAAAGGACTTGCTACAGAGCTATCTTGACATAACCATAAGCAGCATGTTTTCTCAAAGATCCATACTAAATTGCTCACTGTGCAAAAATTAAAAAACCACACAGACAAACACCCCAAAGCATACAAAAGCAAATGAGACCCATAGATTCCTGCTCATGTGAGCAGTAGCCAGGAAGAGCAGGGTTCAGACACTCCTGGAGATGTTCCTACACTGTGTGACAGATGTAGCACAGGAAATATGGAGCTGCTATGCTCACGAGTAATGCCTTCCCTTCAACTCTTCCCTATCTGTATGTCTTTTCCCTCTCTTCATTACAGCCCCATATCCTTGTCTTCTCTCTTTCCTGCTCTTGCTCCCCTACCTTCCACATGCTATCCCTTAATCCTCCCTTTCGGCTGGCATTTGCACTTTTCATTTATTTCATTTTTGGTGCTTTCCGGATTTTTTTTTTTGGCCTGAGATTACAGTTCCCCTAGATAAAATTTTAAAAATGTCATTTTGATTGGCTGTGTCAAGCTTTCTTCAGACATATGGATTTGTGTGTGTGTGTGTGTGCGCGCGCACACGCACGTGCGTGTGTGTATGCACACCACAGGTCAGAGTCAGGCAACACTAGCAGCATCAGCTGTATTCAGGGGTTACTGCCTCTCTCCTCAAGCTGTCCAGCTCATGTAAAAGCTGGTAGGTAGGAATGCCTTCTGGCACAACTGCAGCACAGTCTGGTTGTAAATTAAGCTTGATCCTACCTAGAGAGTTAAGCTCTTGTTGTGATTGCTGTTTCAGTTTTGTTCTTCCCAAAGGAGAAGTGAGTGCTGCGCCAATCCCAAACGAGGTTACTTGAGGCATGGTCAGAGCTGTGGTCTGAGCTGCAGATCCAGAGAGAAGAAAGTTGTTATTATAGCTGGAATGGTTTTTTAAGGAACTGTGTCTTAGGAACCTGTTGTACAGATGATTATAAACATAGATGACTTGCCTACTTAATAGGCCGGTACTGTATGCTAGGGCACTTAGAAAAGTGTGCATTTAAATTACATCGCCAGCCTTAGAAGATATTAAAAATTAAGGATCTATATGCTATGGAAAACACATCTATTGACTTGTGAATATTTTGTGTATTTTATAAAACAGGAAGAAATTTATCTGTGAAAGGTAAATAGTAAAGTTACTATTACCATTGACCATTGACCATTTTTTTAGTATCTTTCAAGGCAAGTGACATTTTAATATAAATCAAATCCAGAAAAACCATTTTTACTAATTGTAACTCTTCAATTCATGCAGTACATACATGTTCAACTTAAGGAGCAAAATGTGCTTTTATGTATATAGTTCCTCACAGCTTTAGCATTGATTTAAAAAGCTAGGTTGGTCTGAACTAACACAACAAACAAGTCCAATTAAGCAAAAATTCCTGAGAAAATGAGGATAAATTGACTATGAAGAGATGTTAAAACTGATCCTTGTAGTGTTAAAAGGCATACAAATGGAGCAAGAGGCATTTCTGGCTAAGAGATCAATGGAGATTTGTCACTGCCGTGCAACATGATCGAATGGATGATAGAAGAACACGTCATAAGGCAAGAGAAACAAGCATCACACTTCACTTTGTAACTTTGCCTGTGGAATTCAAGAAACATTTTATTTTAAAGATTGATAGAGAGTTGCATGATTTGAACATAAAATGAGAAATATAGTCCCATGATTTTAATCAAGGAAATAGAATAAAAAATACCAAAATATGGATTTAAAAGGTTAGAAAGATTAATTTCTGGACAAACTCTAGACTCCCTTCTTAGGTTTGTCTAAATTTATTAATATTTCTTACAAGGAGAGATGGTGGCTTGTAAAATGTTGTTAGCCTGTCGCAGAAAGGTATACTCAAAGTAAAGCAAATCACGGACTCTGCAATTTTTTAAAAAGTTTTATTATAAAGGATAGGAAACCAAATCCACATTTTTTCAAACCCAGATAAATAAACAGTAAATACCATGCTTTTGATTTTAAATGTGTTCTGCCTTTTGCAATAGGATCTGCAAAACTAGCATTCCTAACTTGGAGACCTGCAAAAATATATCTTTTGAGAATATGGAGGAAGACAGACCACATATTTTGCACATAAATGAAGACCATTTCAAAAACGTGCTGGAAACCGAGACAAAACAGCTCTGTGAAGAAATTGCTGAGTAAGGAGTAGTTTTGTAACTTATTCATCAGAAAACTGCAAATTAACCCTTAGGCAAGGTTATTTCAAATATATATATATAAATATATACAAATACACAAAATCGAAGATCTTCCTGCTTAAAACGAAACAAACATCAAATTGTAACAAAAACAGAGAACCCTGTGGGGCCTTGTGATCTTTAAGAAAAGGTGTTTAAAAAAATCCAAGCAGTTTTTTTCTATGCCATAGAAATAAACTGCTAAAGGGGAAAAAAAAAAAAAAAAAAAGAGGAAAACGGGGCGGGGCGGGAGCGGTTACTCTATTATCATCATCCTTTAAAAAAGAATCAGATCTTTGTTGTGCCTGATCTCAGGAACAGTTTAATGAATGAAACAAAGCAACAAACAGTCAAGCAAAAAACTCACCACATTCAGATTTTGCGTGTCATGTTGGTCCCAATTTAATCAATGAGAATGTTACTTTTGATTTTGGTGGGATCAGGGTAAACTTTTTCCTTTTATGTATAGCAGAAGTAGAATGACTGCAAGCTACTTTCCTAAATGGACTTTATTCCTATGACTAAATCACAAGGGGCTGTAAATGGGAAGAGTTGTCTCTACAGCCTCATGGGCCACCCAGCTGCTTTGTTGCTTGTTATTATAGGAACTTTATTTTTTCCAATAGTTGAATTGTGCATCTTGCCCCACACTTCTGCAACATTTTAATATAACAAACTTACTTGTTAGCAACCTGTAAGCAGTCTTCTAAAGTTCTTTTAATATTTATATCCTTCTGAGGCTTTGCACCCTTTGAGTAGGGTCAGGGCTGCCTGTACAAATTAAATGACCATTACAGGAAATATAAACATGCTATTTACAATTTCACAATTCTTTATTTTCTATACAGTTCTGATGAGTATTTTTTATAGTTGTAGCCTAAGCACTGTGTAGAACTGGCATGCTTCTGATATTCACCAAAATGTAATAAAAAAGTAAAATAATTAACGATAAATTGCGCACATGCAAGGATACTGTAAAATGAATCCATTGCCTTAAGCTATGCATTTATGTAATTTTTATATACCCTAACAGTTTGCCTTGCTGTGTACTTTTGATAGAAATATTCCATGCAAAACCCCGTATTTTCTTTAGGATAATATTTCACATTCTTTAAACCTTCCATTAATTTTTCTACATGATGTTCAGACTGCCTTTAATGAAAGAAGGGAAAAACCTCAAAACACAGCTACTTTTGTTATCACATTATAAATCCTAGCTCAGGGATTATGCCAATTATCTGATTTACCTCTACAGAGCAACTGAAGAATTTATGTTTATTACCCTTATCATTCTTCATACGTTTGACTCGGTTTATTTATGAGAAACATATCTTTAAAGGATTTAATGAAAAATAATATTCGCACAAATTCTTTGACTCTGGGATTGACATAAATCTATCCACCATTCAAATTCAGTTAATTTAAGAAAAACAATATTTGGAGTGGTCACCTTGTGTGCTTTAAGATGAGTTTTAATAAAGGTGTCTCCATAATCCTTTTTCATGGATATAATGTTGGCATTTCACTGCTGAATAACATTCTACTCAATAGACCATGGTTGGTACATTTCATTTCTTCAAATTCTGATGCTGTTGCTGAATAATCTAGTATGTTTTTGCACCTCTTATTAAAAAAAAAAAAAAAAAGAAAGAAAAGGACAGCCACTGACAAAGCACCATATTCGGGCAGAATAACCAGATCCAGTTGTTCTTCTCTGGAAAATCATTGCAGCCACCTTCTTCTAAACCAAACCTCTCCCATTCATCAAAATGTGGGGTGACTGTTGGAGAATTTTTGCAGGTTATGGAGTGATAACGAAGAGGCTTTGCATCATCCCTATGTGTTGCTTTCAAGAAACCCTTCACCTTTTACCTTCAGACTGTGATAGTGGTGCTGCTAAGGGCAGTGTTGTCCTGGTTTGTTCTGGGATCCACCGCTGAATGCCTTTAAAAGTCCAAGGGCCGAATCATCATGGTGGTGGAGCGCAAGGAGTAGCTGGGGCCTTTGAAATAATGCCACTTGATGCCGTTGAGCTTTCCATGGTTTTGCCCAGCTGTGTAGAACATCCCATTGAGATTGGAGGGGCCGCAGGCATCAAACCACCACCCTGAAAACATTAAGACAAACAATCAAACTGCAAGTGCACTAAGCATTTTTATGTTGTTTTACAGGTTTAGCTGATTAGCAAATTCTGGTATTCCCAGGCTCATAAATACTGGTGCGGTGGTGGTGGGCATATTTTCATATTTTTCTTTTTTGCTCTTTTGTGCTATTCTGTAGCCAGTGGTGCTGGAGAATGCACAGTTGTATTTACAGAGTTGGAAAAGTATTTAGGTCCTAACTCATTCTGGTTTTATATGCAGTATGTGAAGGAAGAACAAGAACAACAAAGACAAACAAACTGCTTTGCATGTTTAGACAGTATTACAGTTCACCCATCTCATGTAAACTTCAGAAAAAGACTATAATTCATAAGTATTTTGCATAATTTCACTTGTTTGGTTATTTTGAGTATAAGCACGATTTAATTTTATTTACTGGTCCTTTTCTGTTGCTTTAACTGTGATTGTTCAATTGCTCAGACAGTTTGCTTTTGCTCTCAGGTTAGGTGTTCTTAGCAAACATGGGTTATGAGTATGGTGGTGCTGCCCTCTTATAGTAATTACGATATTATAGTACTAGATAATCAGTATTCAGAGCAGTGTACAAGGAGACGGGTAGACTCTTTCTTTAAGACTTATGATAAATTCATAAACAAGACTCAGCAAATTAATGGAAGGACTAAGTGAAGAAGACAATTATAACACTGTTAGGACGTTGACAGTCAGAATACCTATGTGCATGGATAGATGGTTTAGATGATTACCTGAGTGTGCATGTGTTTAGGTGACAGTATGGTCAACTTCAATCAAGGTATATGCATTGCGTGTACAGGTTGGGCCAGAAAAGTGACATTCAATCCTTAATTTTATTATTTCGAATGGGAAAACCTATATTAAATCTTGAGCCTCATAGTCTTGATCTTGAAATGTGCCAAATGCTTTTGAGTCAACAGTATCTGGAGGGTCCTCACTCAGATCCATCTGACATTTTTTCACTTCTCTGCAAAGCCTCTGAGCAAGTTCACACCTGGCACTTAGAAAACTGACGAAAGTCCATTCATTTTACTTTATTTTTAAAGGGGTTTGTAGGCACTTTATTTGCATGTCTACAGGTAGCAGAAAATTACTGGTTACCTGACTATCATTGACTACAAAAAGATATTAAAAATGTTACTGATTGATATCAAGGTTACGGCCTTTTCTGCCCCCCTACCCTGCCTGCTCTTTCCTAGCAAGATGCGGCTTCCTACTCATTAACCCTTTGAACTCTGTGTGCAATTTTATATATTTTATTCTACTGGAAAGACAGGGCAAGAAATGTCTTGCTCAGATGCTTGTGCTTCTAGTTCACTGCTCCAGCAGCTGCATTGTAAGACTGTTCTGAAAAGTGAGGTGACACAGATTTAGGAAAAAAACAGAACTTTGTTTTCTGAGGGGAAACCAGCAATCTGGTTTATAGAATGGCCCTGTGAACAGTTGTGTTGGATAACTGAAGGAGTAGTAAACTGAGAAGTTAGGATAAAAAAGGAGTGTAACAGCTCAGGAACTTTTCAACCTGAATTTTCTGCCAAAGAAAATGCATGTAGAGCCATACCTCCACCTTTGTGAGTGCTCTGTTAACACAGCCCTGAAAATAAACCAGAAATATTTATCAAGTACTTGTGAATATTACTAACAATGACAGAGGTTTTGCTACCATTCGTATGACAGAATGCAGAAAATTCAAGCTTGCTAGAAGCATAGGTTTGGTTGCAAACTGTATGCAAAAAAAGTCATCTCACCTTTAGACTCCTGCAGTGAAGATATGTATATATGTCTTTAACCAATGGAGAAAATTGAGTCAGTGGTGAAATACACTGTGAATCTTCAGAACTATTTTAAATTGTTCCTTTAAGATGAAATTAATCAGTCAACACTCTTGTCTATATCCCCAAGATCTTTTCTTGTTAAGGTGAATTTTAGATTGTCATGGGAGTTAGTGTTTTAAGGAAAACTTGAAATAACATGAAACTTGGCAACACTGAGATTACAGAACACAAACTGACAAAGATAAACTAGGTGACATATTGACTCCACTGAAAGTAGTGGGAGTTTTGCTGTATATCTTGATGGGAATAGAATTTTCTCTCCAACACCTTACAGGGTATCTATGTAAAGTAACAGAAAGATGCTTAGTTCAGACTGAGGAAGGCAGAATGAATCCCCAGACTGTAAAGAGCTAATATTCCCAATGTCAAAAATATATTAACCTCAATGGCTAAGAGCTCTATTTTCAGAAAGGTTTCTGGCGGGGTTTTTTTTCATAGTAAGACCTACAGCCTTTGTGAATCTTTATTCAGGTCTTGTGCATCTTTCTATGTAATATGGTTGTACTGAACATTTGCCTTCATGTATGAAGGCAACTAAAATCATAAAGATCAGGTGGTGGCTTTTGCTTTTAGTGGTTAAATGCCACTTTATTTTAAAAAGTTATTTCAGCCTGCTCACCACAGCACTGTAATCTTCCCAGGACTCCCCGCAAACCTTTTTCAAGCACCACCGGTAGTGGCAAACCGATCATCTAGTGAGTGGCTACTGAATTCTGCAGGTGTCATTGTGAACTGAAATGCAGAATTTTAAATTTTCAGTGTGTTTTCCACTCTGACTTCTGGAAATGGAATTAAAGTGTGAGAAGCTCCTTTTAGAAAATGTGCACTGCCCTAGTGAATCCTCCAATTTCATCATATTCAGTGGTTAGCTTTTTATCTACCTATAATGAATGCATTGTATGAAGGTATTTTAAACTATGCCTTGCTACTACTGATATGATATTGATTATGATTAGCCTTCAGATCCAGTACTTACTCTGTCTTTTGTATTCAGATCCATGTAATTTATGTTTCTAGTCTTGTAAAGTAATTTCTTAGATTTTGGATAATAGTGGGCTTTTTTCAGAAGTAACACTTCATAATGAAATCTTGAGGGAAGAATTTATGCCAGATAAATTCTGGCAAACTTCTATTTTGATACAATTGACCTCTCTTTGATTACAATGTTATACCTAAGGGGGCAATAACCAAAGAAAGAGAAAGCCATACAGCCGATGTTTTACTGTAACCAGAGTATAATCTTGTAGAAACTTAAGACAAAGTTAAACAGAGAAAATCTAATCCTCATTTTTCAAGGCTGGAACACAGATACAGCTGGGTTCTGTTTGTGGTGTTGGGATGAAGACATGGCAAGCTGAGCTAGTTACCATTTCATCTTAAAGGAACAGCAATAGATGCATAAATGGCCTTTTTGGGGAGAAGGTTTTCAGCAGTGCCCTACAAAATCTATGTTAAAAATGGAATGAGTTGAAGAAACACAAAATTTTATAAACCTTTTGTGAGGACCTACTCAAATCTTTCATCATAGATTTCTTCTAAATGAACGCTTCTTTCAAAATGTTTTTTAATGACCATCTTTTTTTTTTTCTACTATACTGTTCTTGTTAGTGAGACTCTATGAGTTTTTTTTAAAGATGTTTCCTAATACTACATTAAAATGTTGGGTTTACTTTCTCTCTGTCTTTCTAAGTGGTTTTTTTTCTCCATATGGTTATGTTTCTCCATCCTCCCCTGCAGTCCTCTAAAAGCTCTTCATTCCCCATAGGGCCTCAGATTATCACAAGACTTCCTACTGCATGTCTCAACACCAAAATCCACATCTTTGAATGGATGCAAATGTTTTTTCAGATGCCTTGTATATTGGGGGAAAGAGGAATGAAAGCAGTGACTTTCTTGGTAGCTATGAGGAAGTGAGGGAACGTAAAACAGAGGTTTCTGAAGGAGATACCTACAGCATTGCCATTGCAGAAAACACCAAATAAAGCAGCTCCAGAGCTGTGAGGCAGTCTGACCCAAGGAAAGACTCCCAGTAGCTATATGTTGGCTCATTCCCTGGAGTTCACAGGATTTTCCTCCCATGAAGAATCTTGTTTATTTTTAACTACAAGGTAATGGCTTTCCCAAATAAGTATCAAGTCTTCTCTGAACAGCAGTAAGATTTTAACCCCAGAGATAACTTTTGGCAATGATTTCCATGGGATATTTGAATCATGCATGAGAATCATGAAAGGTGGGCATTATGAGAAATAATAATAGAAGTAAGATTTTAAAGTCACTAATGAAGTGGTAAAGAGGAAGCTTTCATGAGAAGGTTAAGAGAGTTTTTATTCAGAAACACAGGTAGTTTCTTCGAGTTGTTGTGATCACGAAGTCACTAATTGCTTATTTGAAATGAGGGTAGCTCAGTCTTTTGAGGTTAGCCCACCTCTAATAATTTGTATAGTACAAGCAGCATTACCATCTCTGTTTGCAATAAAAATCCTTAGGTCATAAAGTATATTGTCCAAACAAAAAATAATTTAGATAATACATTGATAAGTTGTTTGAAAGTTCAGCTATACAAATAAACATGAATCCCCACTGTAGACAGCTGCTCTTCTGAAGCAGTTAAAGCATGCTCACGCTTTGTGGACTCTTATGCTTTAGTCTTTAACTAGTGTTGCTCTTACCTCTGGGAAGTTGTTAAATTTCTTGTCAGTTCTTTTCATTAAATAAATGTATTTTGAATGCTTCAGTCTACTTCAGCCACATATCACCAGATACTACAGCTCCACAGACCTGCTTGTACTATATCTTTGGCCGAATATGAATGTATATTGAGATAATTTCTACAAACTCCTGCAAAAAACATTCTAATAAAGAAGCATTGCTCAAATGAGTAATGATATTACTGGAAAAAAATCACAGCCATCTTTTATAATGGTTTTCTGAAGTCACAAGTATAATTTTTATATGATAGAATCTTCTTTGTCAAAAGCAACATAGAAAAGGCTTTTGTATGCCAAACTTAACAGCTTTCCTTTTTTGGTTTGTTGTATAAATTGTAATTAAACATGTATGTATGTAAAATTCTTTGTTAGTAAACTAGTGCTCATCAATTCATGGGTGTACTATAAATCTAGCATGCATTAGGAACT